TCTCACTCTCTCGCGTTCTCGCTCTCTCGCTTGCTCTCTCTCTGTAACTCTGACTTTCAAGTAAATAAATAAGTCTTTAAAAAGCCCATTCTCATCTAACCTTGTTACATCTGCAACAATCATATTTCCAAATCCGGTCATATTCTGAGGCCCAGGAGTGCAGGTCTCCCACACAATTTGGGAGAGCACAACTCAACCCATCCTTCCATTGACTTTGGACACAGAGACAGCGTCTTCCAGGGAACTCCGACACAGCTGGGGGAGGGAAGGGCGGGGAAGACCAGCCCTGACAGAAGGACCCTCCCACCCCCTCAAGGGCCCGCACCCTCACTTCCTTTTCATCGCACCTTCTGTCACTTCAAAGCAGAAGTTATGACAACTCCCAGGAAGCCCTGCGTGGGAATTTGGTTTGTTGGCCAAGCTCCTCCACAGCCGTGAGCAGCCTCCTGTGGGCTCTCATACTTCACCGTCGTCCCCACAGGTCCTGGCTGTGGATCTCCCCCGGACTGCATCCTGGAAGACCCTGCAAGGCTCGGAGCTGAGTGTGAAATGTGGAGCTGACAGTGGCATTGTGAGTGTCCCCCACCTCTGCCCCATCTCCCGGGACCCCAAGCCTGCTCCCTCTTGCTGCTTTTGGAGGTGTTTCCTGAGGACACAGAAGTGGATGTGAAAACCCTGATAAGTCCTGGGCAGTTCCTGCTCTCAGAGCCGGTGGAAGGAGGCCCCCTTACCTTTGTGGAGAGTAGCATTGGCTGGATTGTGTTTGCCTTTGGAGCATTTATTTTGCAGTGTGAGAACTTCCTGGAAGCAGGAGAGCCCGTTGCCCTTCCTTTTCCCTGCTTGCCAGCCCCTGTGGCCTCACCTGCAGCCTTCTCGTGGCGATCAGAGCCAGCTCTAGGCTATGCCTGCGCAGATCAGCTGAGAGGGAAGGTTTGCACTGTTCACCTTCCCTGGCTGGGACCTGAACAATTCTACCTTCCTGTGATTTCATGCAATGAATGGGTCTGATAGCATTATTTCCACCATATAAACTGGAAAACCCAAAATGACAATATCTTAGACCTATGAGGGTTTATGCTGTCTCATAAAACAGATGTGGAGGCAGCCAATCCTGAGCTACTTTGGTCACTCAGTGGGGGCTCTCCTTCTGTCTTTCTTCTCTGCAGCACATGGTTGTGGCTGCAACCTCACCTCAGGGTCCAACATGGCCCCTGGAGCTCCAGCCATCATGTCCACTTCCTAAGCAGAAGGAGACGCCACAGGGATACATTTCCCAGTTGAGATCATTCACTTCAAGGAGCTTTCCAATAAGTCCCACACACATTCTGCTTACATTGTGTGACCAGAATCCCTTTGGGGTTTGAAGTGGCAGGTGTTGGATCAATAACCAAGTTTGAGAAGTCTTAGCATGTTTTCATCCCAGCTTCCAGAAAGTTACCCCAATGCAGCCACACTCGTGAGGCCCCTCTGTGCTACCGCCAAAGAACAAGACTCTCCTGAGAAGGACAGCGGGAGTGGGCGTGGTTTGTTCTGTGTGCGAAGGCGGCCTTCTGAGCACCTCACAGTGTAGCATTTAGTTTGATCTGTAATAACCCCATGCTTCAAGAATCCTGAACTCTGTGGCCGGCGCCGCGGCTCACTAGGCTAATCCTCCGCCTAGCGGCGCCAGCACACCGGGTTCTAGTCCCGGTTGGGGCGCCGGATTCCGTCCCGGTTGCCCCGCTTCCAGTCCAGCTCTCTGCTGTGGCCCGGGAGTGCAGTGGAGGATGGCCCAGGTGCTTGGGCCCTGCACCCCATGGGAGACCAGGAAAAGCACCTGGCTCCTGGCTCCTGCCATCGGATCAGCGCGGTGCGCCAGCCGCGGCGGCCATTGGAGGGTGAACCAACGGCAAAGGAAGGCCTTTCTCTCTGTCTCTCTCTCTCACTGTCCACTCTGCCTGTCAAAAAAAAAAAAAAAAAAAAGAATCCTAAACTCTGTTACCAGTGCAGGGGTGGGTAGGGGGAGCAACTGAACCTCAAGGAAACTGAGTCACACCGTGCCGAAGTGAACATATAAGGCTTTGCCCATGGTTTTGTATTGTTCTTTCCACAGAATCACACTATTTCCCTCCCATCAATGGATGTTAGGATTTACCAGTTTTCTCTTCAAAGAACTTTCTAAAAGCATTTCACACCTTGAGGGAAGAATCTTCATCGACTTACTAACTGGGTGATCTTAGGGAAGGAAATCCCAGGATTGTTGTAAGCATGAAACAAAATGTATCCAGAGCTTAGATAATGCTTTGTACATGTGAGATGTAAGTTACTGTTACTGTTATAAAGTTCAAGTCCATCATTTGTCTATCCTGGAAAACATGTGGACTCAGAAACCTCGGTAGGTTAATCAAGAAAACTGGGTTACTGCACACAAGTGGCCCCATCAGCAAGTGTACCCGAACAACAGCAGAGACGTCACAGCTGCACCCCGTCACCCCACTGCACAGATTGCTACTTTGGGAGAGGCAGCATCACAGATGGCAAGGAGTCAAGGCGCCCGGGCTACTGCCTTGCGGCGAGTGCCTGCACATCTCACTGGCCATGTGACACTGGGCACGTTCCTAACCCCTCCCTGCCTCAGCTTCTTAACTGAGTGCAATTGGGTGCTCATCATAGAAGCTACATCCCAGGATTGGGGAGATGGAACACATTTGCTTAGGTAAAGCACTCAGAACAGCACCTGGCATATAATAGGTGCAGTTTTACTGAGATTGATAGATGATTGACTAACTGACTTTCTTTTTGTGTTTTGTTTTAGTTCTTTCTGAGTCTTGTGCCTGCTGGCCACTTTCTATATGGCCTAGGAAAAGGGAAAGTCTAAGGAAGACTATTAACTATTCATTCACTCATTCATATTCTCTCTCTCTCTCTCTCTCAGGGCGAGCTCTTTCTGAACGGTCAAATGTGCAGAATTGTGCAGCGGGAGCTCTTGTTCAATCTGGGCGTGGCCTATGGCATCGACTGTCTGCTGATGGATCCCACCCTGGGGGGCCGCTGTGATACTTTCACTACGTTCAATGTCTCGGTGGGTCCCAACAGGGGCACTGTAGTGAAAGAGCCTTGGGCTAGGAATGGCCCCGGCGACCCAGCATAGGCTCTGCTGTGAACCCACTGAGGGCTGGTCCTTAGAAGAGACCAGGACAGAGAGCTCTGAGAACCACCAGGTGGCGTCCTTCAAACCAACAATTCTCAAGTGTCCACGTCTCCCTCCGCAGGCCTTGAGTAGTCTCGTCTTCCCATCTGCCCATTCATCCCTTCACTTCTTTGCCACTGAGAACCCACTTCTTGGATACCAACATGTGACAGCTTTTCTGCCATTCATTTTCATATCCATCCATTTACAAGCCCATTCAACAAACATTTTTTTTAGCTTCTGACCAATTAAACCATATGAAATTGCCATACTTGATAGTTTGGAGACTATAACAATGGCAATTTCATATGTTCAACTTTTTATTTATGTCCCAACCCCAAATACCTCCATTCATTTACCGACTTGTTCAACTCACTACATTGATTGAATTTCTGCCCTGGGCTCTGCACTGTGCCAGGCATTTTCTCGTTCGTCTCATTCATTTTCTCATTTACTGAGCCCCACCTCTGAGCCAACCATTTTGTTCCATGCTTGTGTTACTCTCTCAATTATCCAAGGATGGGAGAAATTATCATCAACTCTGTTGTGTAGCTTTGGAAGTGAGTCTCAGAGAGATGAAGAGACTTTACACGACAAAGTGTATCACCAGTTGATGTCAGTACCTGGCATTTCATAGGCATTCAATAAATATCCCAAAATTTTAGGGGACCAATCAGCCAAAGGAAGAGATGAATGGATTTCTTAATTCCTGAAGTGTATTCACACAGATTTGTGGAGTCAATCATTGTCCTTCACTAATCCCTTGAAGATCAAATAGAAGCAAAAAATTATTACCCCTGCTTTATACATCTTAGAACTAAGGATCAAAGAGGACAAGTGATTGACCAGAGCATCACAGTTAACTTAGACGGAACAGATCCTCACGTTCCCATTTCTCAGTGCTTGTTACATCACCTAAATCACATGGCTCTGGTCTGGCTCTATGAAACAGGACACTTTTCAAAGAACTAAACCAAAGAGTGGAGGCCCAAGACAGACCTTTAGAATTCTCCATGGCAAAGTTGCACTGTGTATGCTTTTCACCTTAGATCACAAAGTTCTTAAACAAGATTAATTGAATTCATAATACATCCAGGTATCAGTATTAACCCAGGACACTTCCTTGTGCTTGCCAAGATTCTTGATTTTAAGTGCTTCTTTTCTGTATACTAGGGAGACTGTGGGAGCTGTATCAATACCCCCAGGTGTCCAACATGGAGCAAACCAAAGGTAATTATGAATGCAACAGTAACATTTGGAAAGACAAGGATATCTCATTGCCAGACCTCAACTGTCAGGTGTGTGTGACTATATGTATATTTGGGAGGGGAGTTGTCTGCCAGTGTGTTGTATAAATACAATGGATGACTTTCTTTTAACAACCAAGCCAGTGGAGTGAGAGATGCACATTCTTGGCCCAGGTAGCCATCAACCTACTATATCTTCCAGAAACTATATATAAAAGTAAACCTCAGAGACTCCAATGATAAATATAATTATATTGGGCCCTTGGTATATCCATTATCCCTGTTCATCATTTACACTTTACCTTCACTTCACATAGGAGAAAAGGAGCCTCAGTATGTAAGCAGTCTGCCCACAGTCACAGCTACTAAGCGCAAAAAGCTAAGATAAAAGTTGGCTCAGACTAGGGTAATAGACAACCCCAAAAAAAAACTGGAAGCCACAGACATGGGCCCAAATTCCAGTAACTTCCAGCAAGTCACATAATCTATCAGTTTTGCCTCTCTAAAATGGAGCTAACAGTGACTAGTATTGTGGCATAGCAGGTTAAGCCACTGCCTGCAAAGCCAGCATCCTATAATGAGTGCCAGGTGGTATCCTGGCTACTCTACTTCCAATCCAGCTCCCTGCAAATGCACCTGGGAAAGCAGCAGAGGAGGGTCCTGAACCCATGTGGGAGATCCAGAAGAAGCTCCTGGCTTCTAGCTTTGGACTAGCCCAGCCTCAGCTATTGTGATCATTTGGGGATTAAACAGGCAGATAGGAGATATCTGTGTGTGTGGTGTGTATCTCCTTTTCTCTCTCTATGTAACTCTGCCTTTCAAATACATACATATTTTGTAATTTTATTTATTTTTATAATTTTTATTTAAGGTGGACAAATTTCATGTATTTCATGCATACATATTTAGGAACATGGTGATCCTTCCCACACTACCCTCCCTCCTGCCTATGCTCCCACCCTTTCTCCTCCTTCCTCTCTCATTCCTTCTCTTTATTTTTATAGTGATCTACTTTCAGTTTACTTTACATTCATAAGATTAACCCTACACTAAGTAAAGAGTTGAACAAATAGTAAGAAGGAAAAAACACCATTCCTCAACAGTAGAGACAAGGGCTGTAGCAATAATCAAAACTGACCATGTCAATTTCACTCATACACATTACAATTTTTGGTGCTCTCTTACCACAGATCAGGGAAAACTGGCTTATTTCACAAAATATAATGATTTTAGTTGCATCCATTTTATTGTCAAAGACAGGACTTCATTCTTTTTTATGGCCAGTATTCCATAGTGTATATATACCACATTTTCTTTTTTTTATGTTTTTTTATTTTTTTTTATTTTTGACAGGCAGAGTGGACAGTGAGAGAGAGAGAGAGACAGAGAGAAAGGTCTTCCTTTACTGTTGGTTCACCCTCCAATGGCCGTTGTGGCCCGTGCACTGCAGTGATCTGAAGCCACGAGCCAGGTGCTTCTCCTGGTCTCCCATGCAGGTGCAGGGCCCAAGGACTTGGGCCATCCTCCACTGCACTCCTGGGCCATAGCAGAGAGCTGGACTGGAAGAGGGGCAACCGGTACAGAATCCGGCACCCCGACCGGGACTAGAACCCGATGTACCGGCGCCACAGGCAGAGAATTAGCCTATTGAGCTGCAGCACCAGCCACCATATTTTCTTTATCCAGTCATTGGTTGATGGGCTTCTGGATTGATTCCATATCTTAGCTATTGGGAATTGAACTGCAATAAACATGGGGGTACAGATAACTCTTTCATATGCTGATTGCATTTGGTTTGAGTAAATTCCCAGGAGTGAGATGGCTGGGTCATATGGTAGATCTATTTTCAGATTTCTGAAGAATCCCCATATGGTCTTCCATAATGGCTGTACTAGTTTACATTCCCACCAACACTGAATTAGGATGCCTTTTTCCCTACATCCTCACCAGCATATATTGTTTGTCGATTTCTGTATGAGATCCATTCTAACTGGGTTGAGGTGAAACCTCACTGTAGTTTCAATTTGCATTTCTCTAGTGGCTAGTGATCCTGAGCATTTTTTCAAGTGTCTGTGGACCATTTGAATTTCCTGTTTTGAAAAATGCTTGCTCAAGTCCTTTGCCCATTTCTTAACTGGATTGTTTGTTCTTGTTGAGTTTCTTGATCTCTATAGATTCTGGATATTAATCCTTTATCAGTTGCAGAGTTTGCAAATATTTTCTCCCATTCTGTCAGTTGCCTCTTCACTTTGCTGAGTGCCTCCTTTGCAGTGCAGAAGCTTCTTAGCTTGATGTAATTCCATTTGTCTACTTTTTGCTTTGATGGCTTGTGCTTTTGGAGTCTTTTCTAAGAAATCTTTCCCTAGGCCATTGTCTTACAGAGTTTCCCCAAAGTTCTCCTCTAGTAATTTGATGGTATCAGGTGGTAGATTTAGGTCCTTCATCCATTTTGTGTTGATTTTTGTATAAGGTATATGGTATGGATCTGGTTCATACTTCTACAGAGATCCAATTTTCCCAGCACTATTTGTTGAAGAGACTGACTTTCTTCACGGATTGATTTTATCTTCTTCATCAAAGATCAGCTGGTTGTAGATGTGTGGATTGATTTCTGGGTTTTGTATCCTGTTCCATTGGTCTACATGTCTATTTTTGTGCCAGTACCATACTGTTTTGATGATAACTGGCCTGTAGTACATCTTTTTAAGTTTTATTTATTTACTTGAAAGAGTTACACAGTGAGAAAAGGAGAGGCAGAGACAGACAGACAGAAGTCTTCCATCCGCTGGTTCACTCCCCAGTTGGCCACAAAGGCTGGAGCTGTGCTGATCAGGAGCCAGGAGCTTTCTCCAGGTCTCCCATGTAGGTGCAGGTGCCCTAATACTTGGGCCATGTTTCACTGCTTTCCCAGGCCATAGCACAGAGCTGGACTGGAAATTGAGCAGCCAGGACACGAACCAGTGCCTGTATGGGATGCCATCACTGCAGGTGGCAGCTTTACCGGTTATGCCACAGCACTGGCCCCTATAGTATGTCTTGAAATCTGATATTGTGATGCCTCCAGCTTTGTTTTGTCTGAAATTCCTTCAGCTACTCATGGTCTCTTGTGTTTCCCTATGAATTCAGCATCATTTTTTCTGGATCTGAGAAGAATGTCATTGGTATTTGGATTGGGAATAAATAAGCCTTTTATATATATATAATACACACACACACACACATATGGGCCGGTGCTATAGCGTAGCAGGTAAAGCCACTGCCTGTGGTGCTGGCATCTGATATGGGGCGCCAGTTTGAGACCCGGAGGCTCCACTTCCAATCCAGTTCTCTGCTATGGCCTGGGAAAGCAGTGCAAGATGACCCAAGTCCTTGGGCCCTGCACCTGTGTTGGAGACCCAGAGGAAGCTCCTGGCTTTCTCTCTCTCTCTCTCTCTCTCTCTCTCTCTCTCTCTCTGCCTCTCTCTCTCTCTCTCTGCCTCTCTGCCTTTCAAATAAATAAGTCTTTAATATAAATATAAAATGGAGTTTACAACGGTTCTCTGTGCAGTTACTAGGAAAAGAAAATTATAAAGTATGCTACATTTAAGTGAGGGGCTGGTGCATAGGAAATGCTTATTAAATACTGTTTTCTAAATTACTTAGTACAAAGTCAAGCTCTTTCTACTCTACTAGTAAAAGCCCTAACAAAAATATTTCTACAAAACAAACAGTAATTCGCACTCTCCTTGCTGAGGACTTGGGTGGGGGGGGCTCTCCCTGATCCCTCCCCAGGCCACCAGACCATTTGCAAACAGTTCTGAGTCAGAAAGTCCTTGCCTGTAAGACTGGGAAGAAATCTTCCATGGACTTTAGCTCTTCCCTCTCCCCTCTCCCAGATACCTCAACTCCCCTAAGAAACAATTGCCTTTTTAATTTTTATTTATGTGAAAGGCAGAAAGACAATGATGGATACTCAGAGATATCGCTAATCTGCTGTATCACTCCCCAAATGCCTGCAACAGCCAGGCTGGGCCAAGCTGAAACCAGAGCCAGGAACCTAGTTCAACATCAGTGACAGGTGCCCAAGTTCCACAGCCATCACTTCCCTCCCAGGGTGCCCATTAGCAGGAAGCTGGAATTGGACACAAAGCCAGGACTTTGAACCCAAGCACTCTGATATAGGACGCAGATACTAAGCCAGATACCCACTCTGGAAAGAATTGCCATAAAAAAAAATAAAACATTAAGGCCCATGGAAAGTCCCATTTTTTCACTTGAGCAGGACCAGGGTCTCTACCAGAGGTTGGGCTAGAGCCCCAGAGTCCAAGTCCACGTGACACAGGGTGACGGCCTCATCCGCTCTCTTCCCTCAGGGTGTGAAGCAGAAGTGTGTCTACCAGCTGCCCCTGCTGAAGAGGAAGGTGGATGGCTGTCGGCAGCAGTGCACCCTGGTGATCCCAGTCCTCAAGTGCTGCAAAGGCTACTTCCTCCCGGACTGTCAAGGTGAGGGTACGCTCGCTGCACAGACCTGAAAGCTCTCAAGTCATAAGGCAATGGAGGAATGATGCCTAAGGACCAGTCATAAGAATCAGTGCCATCCCTTCGATTTGTTCATTGGCTTATATTTCCAAAATTGTCTCAGTTACCTGTAGCCTCTCGTTTGATCCTCACAATAACAGCATGGTGTAGAACAAGCACACCACCATCATCACTACCATCGTCATTCTGGGCTTTGAAAACTAAAACTCAGAGGAAATTCACTCCTTAGCCCAGATATACTCTAATCCAGGTCTCCTGACCCCCAAATGCAGTGCACAGTTCAGTCTGTCCTCCTGCCCAGGTAGACTCCTATCAGATACTTTGAAGCCCATCTCCCATAAAGCAAGGCCATGATCCCTCCGAGTTAGTAGATGTATAATCCACAGCATGCTAACAAAGGTGACAAAAGCACTGAGCTGATCTGGGTCTGGTAGGCTGAGTCACTGCTGTGTCCTCTCTTCCAGCCTGCCCTGGAGGACCAGATACCCCGTGTAACCACCGGGGCGTCTGCCTGGATTCCTACTCGGCCACAGGACAGTGTAAATGCAACACCGGATTCAACGGCACAGCGTGTGAGCTCTGCTGGCCTGGGAGATTTGGGCCCGACTGTCAGGGTACGTGTGGTACCACCTCCCAGAGCTGTAGCCTGTCTTGTTGGCTGCCTGTCTTCATCCACACCACCTGCCTGACCTGGAAGCATCCTCCTTCCCTTCCTTCCTTCCTGCCAGCCACCTTCCATGTGCCTGCCCTGTGTGTTTTTTGCCTCCTTGGCTGTATTCCCAGTTTCCACCCATGAAAAGAGCCTCACACGCCCTGTGGTGCCCACGGCAAGCTGTAGCCACACAACGCTCATTCATTCAGCCATGGACCCTGCCTGTATTTGTTGTGTCCTTATGAGTATTAACAGCCAACATCTAGTGAGCACCTCCTTTGTGCCAAGTATCTACATCTTCCCAGGTATTCCTCCGATAGCCCTTTGGAGTCGGCACTGTTAGGATCACCAGTGAGCAGATGAAGAAAGCAAAGAGGTGACGTGATCTGCTCGAAACACAGGAACAGTTCTAAGGTCCAGGGATATGGTGGTTTGTGGAGGTAGAGGCTAAGGAACAAAACCCCAGTTATCAAAGAGCTCACAGAACCAGAAGTAGTGACAAAGGATATGAAGACAAAGAAGTAGGTAGAGGGGTCAAGATTAAGACTAGGCCCTGTTCTAGAAGACCTTGCACACAAGGAATATTTGAGTAGACACCTGACAGAGGTGAAGGGCCAGGTGTGGCAAAACCACAGGTGGGCCAATCACACTTGGAGCCTAGCTGGAATGCTCTGTGACTCCACTGTCCAGCACGGTAGCCACCAGCCACGCGTGGCTGTCAAACACGGAAAATGGGTGATCACGGGGCCGAGTTTTTAATTTTAACATTTACTCAGCACACCTGCCTAGTGGCTGCTATACTGGACCTGGTTGCATCCCAATGTCCAGCCACTGATGACCGCCCTCTCTCTGCTCTGTTCCACAGCCTGCAGCTGCTCAGAACATGGACAGTGTGACGATGGGATCACCGGCTCGGGGCAGTGCCTCTGTGAAGCAGGGTGGACAGGCCGCTTCTGCGACACCCAGACAGGTCTGTCAGGGGAGGGCCCGACTGCTGGCAGCACCCAGCCACCATGGACCAGGCTGAGAGCATCCAAGCGAGGGTGCAGGAAGTGGGGTCTGAGTGATGGCACCTGGAAGAAACGACAAAGCGTGTGTTTTCAATGCCACCTAGAAAAGATGATTTGGACCGTGTGGCCCTGGGCCTCGGAAGGGTGGTGACTGGAAGGGAAGCCAGATGAGATTTAACTCCAGCTCATGAAAGCAGCCCCACCCAAAGCAAAGAATCGCAGGATCAGGCAAGGTGGTGCCTCGTTATGGTGGCCCTCGGGCCCAGATGTGCACTGACGTGGAGGCTGAGTGATTTCATAGAAAACACAGGCTTTGGTGTCCCTGAGACCAGGCCTTGACCCCGATGCTGCTGCTTCCCAGATGCATGGCTTAGATCACCCCCACTGCCCCGACCTTCTCCCCAGTAAGGGAAAGCACACACACTCTGTAAGGAGAGGATGGCTGTGATGGTTGAGGTCACGGTTGTGAAGTGCCCAGTGTGCAGGTGCTCTGAACAGTCAGCATTATCACCATTGTCATAACCTTGACCCACATCATGCAAGAACCATAGCCGAGGCCTACATTCCGGAAGATCCAAAATGCAACAGTTGACTCATCCAGGGTGGGTCACTGTCATTCCACCCTCCCTGAGGTCAGAGAACAGCACTAGGCTCCTCCTCAGTGACCTGAGGTTCCAAGAATACCAACAGGTTTAGCACCAGTGCCTCCTCCCCCACACAAGGCTGGCTTCAGGCTGCCCAGGCACACTGCAGCCCCACCCAGTCAGCAAGGCTCCAGGCTTCTCCCAGGCTCCGTGGTACCCTGCAAAGGCTTTGGAACTTCCCCTCCAATTTAACCAGCTCTATCTGGAACCCCATGTCCCTGGGGCCACGGCGCTTATCTACCAAGTTCATCCCTGCTGGCAAGTTTTAAGGTGTAAAGTTTCAGCTGGTTGCCGCTAAAGTTAGCATGATAATCTGAGTCACAGAGAGATCTCACTATAAAGGAGTAATTCTAGAATCTCAGAATCTGCGGGCTGAGGTGGACCCTAGCAACTCACCCCATCCTCTGGCAATGGGGAGTACTGAGAAAACACAGCGGCAGGTCAGGGCAACAGTCTTGGCAAAACTCCTCAGGTGGGCCCCAATGTTGCTCAGCATGGGTACAAGAGGATTGGTGACCCTCCTCTGCTTTTTGTTTTCTGCAGTTTTGCCCCCAGTATGCACGCCTCCTTGTTCTGCTCATGCCACCTGTAGGGAGAACAACACGTGTGAGTGTAACTTGAATTACGAAGGTGATGGGGTGACATGCACAGGTGAGTCCCTTCATGGCATGTGGCACAGGAGGGGGGCAGGATGTGGTCACAGTGTCTGGGCTTCCCTCCACCACGGCCTGCCTGGGCCACTTCCACAGTGCCAAACCCTCAATGACTAGTGTCCTCAGGGAGTCGGCTCGGGATTGGCCTGCCCACCTCCCAGCTCATGGCTTCAAAATTATTTTGCAATAGGGTTGCACTTTGTAGTGCTTTTCTAACTCTGCAAGTAACCTGATGTGTTTTTATTTTATTTTTGATTGATTGATTTGGAAGGCAGAGGAAGGAAAAGATTTTTCCAGCTACTGGCTCATCCCCCAAATGGCTGCAACAGCCAGGTCTAGGTCAGGCTGAAGCCAGGGACCAGGAACTCCTCCCTGGTCTCCCTTAAAGTGACAGAGGCTGAAGTACTTGGGCCATCTTTTTTTTTTTTTTTTTTTTTAGATTTAAAAAAAAATGTATTAGAGTCAAAGACCCCCAGCCAGAGTGGCATGGAAGGGGGCTTCCAAGAGAGGAAAAAAAACAAAGGGCCCCGTGCACTGGGGTATTTAACTACAATTTTGGAGGCAAAAACCTTGACAGATTGGCACTCAGTTACCAGGCAGGGACAAAATCCATCAAAAGACCTGATTTACAGTTCTTTATCCCATCTGGCTTGTTCATGATAAACCAAAAATACCATCTGGAAGGTGGGATAGGTAACTTGTTTCTCCAATAACCTGCGATCACTACTCCCTTGCTATTGTCATGGCAAATTTGGAGATTCTGAAGAAAGGAGGGCAGCCTATCTGTTCTTGCTAAAGATAACCTTTTGGGGGGGCAAATATTCTATACCCCAAATTCCATTGGGACCACCCTGACTGCCTATTAACCCATCTGACTCCTCACATTCCCCCCTTAACAAGAATGTACCCTAACATCTGCTAGGGGGGACTAGACAATGATCACTCTGGCTACTTCATGCTGAAAAGGGGCGTCTTTGGGAAGGGGCTTCTCCAGGGGGATACAATGCCAGCTTGAAGCAACTGTTTCCATTGGATGTTTCATGTGCATGGCTATCTAGAATTTTACTTTTTCAAGTCTGGAGAAAGCAAATCTAACAAGCAGTTTAAATTCACAGGATCTAAAACCAAGGACAGAGTCATTATTAAACCACCAGCCTTCTCATTGAGAGGCAAATAGAAACTGACAGAAAGGGCTTGAGTATAATCAGGTGGGCTTTAAGGCCTTGCCAGTTAGGAGTTCTCAGACCAATCTACCTCTTCACATGGGGTACATCCTAAGGGAGGTACCCTGTTGACTTCTATTACCCAGCTGGCCTGGGAGGAGAGCTGGCTCAAAGAGAAGATAGGTGGCATTTCTAAAAGGAAAACATTTTTAGTTAATTCACAGTCCTGCCTGCAATGTTGCTGTCCCTACTTGGCCATCCCCTCAGCAGCAGTGGTTACTTGGGAAGCTGGGTGAGTGAAGGACTTTTCAGCTTAGAGCTAACAGGGTCTGTGGCTCTGACCTGGATCCCTTCAAGTCCAGGGCAGGTGCATTTCCAGTGACCCCACTCTTGGCTGGCTGAGCTGCCAGGGCTCTTCATAAGCTGACTTCTGCTGAAGTCCTGGCTTTCCATATTGAAAACCAACGCAGTGGTTGGGTCTCCTTGATGGCAGATCACTGTGTCAAGCAGCATTAATTGGTCTGCCACCTATCTATGTTGCTTCTGCCTCCTAGCTTCCTCTTCCTCCTGGTTTTTGTTAACACAGACCAGAGGAAACCTTTAAGAGAATGCAAGTCAAGGGGGTGCTCTGTCCCTAATCTTTGGTGGCCTAAACTAGAAACCTGTAGTTACAGGCATGTTCTGTTACTGGTTTATTTCTTTTGAGGTAGACAATGCCCATGAGGAAAGCTATGTCAAAATGATGACCACCTTATTTACAAAATTTTAATTCATTAGTAAAACTCTCTCCCTCTGTTTGGTTTAAAAAGGGAGGTTTTGCCTGTTTATTGTGTGGGGCCATCATATGCTGTCTTCCCAGGTGCGTTAGCAGGCAGCTTTATCAGAAGCAGAGCAGCCGGGACTCTGACTGGCACCCCAATTTGGGATGCCATTGTCACACACAGCAACATAGCCCGCTGCGCCATAACGCCAGCCCTGCACACAGTATCTTTAAAAAGTTCAACTTACATGCTCTCACAGCCCAGTGAGAACCACTGTGAGCCTAGCAATGTCTGTCTAGAGTACTGAGGACAAAGGTTCAGCTGTGCAGACAGCCAAATGATGGGTACAGACACAGGCAAGCATTTCCTGTAAGTTTGAGGGAGGCACCCAGGACTTACCCAGAATTCCACCTAAAAGGTCTCTCGGGGCCTAGACTCCTCCTATCTCTTTGCTCTGCCATTGCTCACCTGTCTGGTCTGAAATGACGGGAGCTCCGCTCTGCAGAGCTTAGCTAAGCCGAATCCCTCCCCAAAGGCCTCCGCTGTGAAGCCCGGCGTGGCTGCAGTTGGCACCCTCTTAGGACCTCCCAAAGGGCATTACCTATCAATGCATGAGGCCTGGGGAGGAGGGAGGGGGCTTCCAGCCACATCCAGACCATCTCCCGCTGCTCTTGCAGTGGTGGACTTCTGCAAACAGAACAACGGGGGCTGTGCCAAGGTTGCCAGGTGCTCCCAGAAGGGCACCAGAGTCTCCTGCAGCTGCCAGAAAGGCTACCAGGGTGATGGCCGCAGCTGCACAGCCATCGACCCCTGCGCAGACGGCCTCAACGGGGGCTGTCACGAGCACGCCACCTGCAAGATGACCGGCCCGGTGAGTCGCGCCTCCCCATTAAGTGGGGGCGGCCCTTGTGCTTTGCCCAGCTCCTCCACCTGCGGGGTTCTGCTTGCCCATGGATCTCCCTCCTCTAAGCTTGCGTCCCACCTCAGACTATGTCTCATCAGAGGCCAGGGGGCTTCTGGCTGGTATCCTAGGAATAAAAAGGACATCCTTGGAAAAACTGCTGAGGCCCATGCCAAGCCAGCTGCTCACTTACTAGGCCTATCCCAACACTAATTTCCTAGTTTTGACAAATGCACTTGGTTCAGTGAGATGGGGGAAGGGCATAGGGGAGTTCTGTCTGCTGTCTTTGCCGAGTCCCATAAATCTAAAATTGCTCACAATGAAAAGTTTATTAATGAAAGGGGTGGTAAGAAGTATCATGAAAAGCACAGACTCGGGCACTCTTTCAAGTCTTGGTGGAATGGAGTCCATGCCTGGTTCACCTGTTGGGAAGAGACGACGGGAGAGAATGTCCACTAGTGGTTACAAGGGTAGACTTAGGGTCCTACAGAGTCTTACTTAGCTCCTGGGTTCAGACACTGCGAGACCTGGGGCTGGCTACTTATTCTGAGTCTCAGTTTTCTCATCTGCAAAGTGGGCCAAATGAGAACGCAAATATCATAGGGCTGTTGTAGAGATGAAATGAGGTTGTTGCTCCAGGGTCACTGTGCACCTGTTGTGGCTATGGCAGGTGCCAAGGATACTGCAGCGAACAGAGAGAATGCATCCCTGCCTTCCCAGAGCTGACACACAAGTAGAGGGAGGGCCAGGACTCAGTCCAGGAGTCTCACAGCATGGAGGGGGCCCGCACACACTGGAAGGAACTGGGGCGCTCCTTTACGGAGGGCGGTCAGAGAAGTGATGCTGGAACCAAGGTGTGAAGGCTGACAAGCTTCCATCACGAACCTGTGTAAAAGCAAGGCCTGGCAGGAACTTCCCCTCCACTGGACAGGAGAGGCACCTTCTCTGGGGTCCTTCTGAACCCCTGCTGGGCTACATGGTGGTCCACACAGCACTGGAGGGTCCCGGGGTCCTGGAGAGAAGGCGTTCTCACCTCTTCCCGCTCTTCCCACAGGGCAAGCACAAGTGTGAGTGCAAAAGTCACTACGTGGGAGATGGGGTGAGCTGTGAGCCGGAGAAGCTGCCCCTGGACCGCTGCCTGCAGGACAACGGGCAGTGCCACGCGGACGCCAGCTGCACCGACCTCCACTTCCAGGGTGAGTGCGCTGGGGTGAGCGACTGGCCAGCAGCACCACCTCATTCAGGCCTGGGGAAGGGACCTGTGCAAGAGGAAAAGGAAACACAGCACAGCATAAGACAGGGACCAAAGTGGCCCCTAGGTTGCCCAGACCCAGTGGAGGTAGCAGAGGGGCGGAGCCAACTCAGAATTGGACCTTGAGCTGCTGCAGCCAGGAAGGGAGCGCAAAGGGTGTCTACCAAGGCTTTTCCCCATGTTTGCTTGTCCCGAGATGCTTAGCAACCCGTATGATGGAAATGAAATCAAGGGTATTAATTAAGATACTTAATTAAAAATCACATTAGGGTATTCAATAACCAAGAAGTACCTGTCACATGCAGAAGCAATTTCTTAACAGTTGTTTGGAGAGTAGCGCATTGACCGGCACATACCCCATTTATTTCCAAGGACAATTCAAATGGCTTATAATAAGCACTCAGCTATACTAAAACCAAGCATCATAATACCCAGAGAGCAGAAAACCACACAGAGGCTCAGAGTGTGGTCAATAGGGCTTTTTTTTTTAAAAAAAAAATCTATTTATTTGAAAGTCAGACATATAGAAAGAGAGGGAGAGGGGAGAGAGACATAGGGAGAAGTGGAGAGAGAGAAAGAGAGAGAGAGAGAGAGAGAGAGCGCAAGAGACAGAGACAAAGAGATTGATCTTCTATCTGCTGTTTGTTGCCCCAAATGGCCACAAAGGCCAAGGCTGAGCCAGGCCAAAGCCAGGAGCTTCATGTGAGTCTCCCACATGGTGGCAAAGGCCCACACGCTTGAATCATCTTCCACTGCTTTTCCCAGGCCAAACTGGAAAAACTGCTTTTTCCAGACACAAACTGGTGCTCATATGGGATGCTGGCATCACAGGCGACAGCTTTACCCATTACACCACAATGCCAGCCCTGGCATGTTTTTCCCAAAGTTTATTTATCTGAAAGGCAGAGTGACATAGAGAGGGGAGAAACAGATCTTCCATCTACTAGTTCACACCCCAAATGCCTGCAGTAGTCAGGTCTGGACCAGGCTGAAGCTGGGAGCCGAGAATTCCCTGTGGGTCTCCCGCGTGGGTGGCAGGGGTTCAAGCATCTGCGCCCACATCTGCCCCTCAGGCAGGGAGCAGCTGGTCTCAAACAAGTACCCGATATGGGATGCTGGCGTCGCAGGCCGCGGCTTAACTCCCTGTGCCGTAACACCTGCCCCACAGGGCACCTGGGAGCCCAAGATAGGAAAGCCCTGAAGGATCCTCAGATGTCACTCTGAGCCAAGGCCAAGAGGGACTCCAGTGGTTTAGGACGCAATATGGGCACTGCACATTCTGGCCAATCAGCATTTATGGGGCTGTCTCTGGCTGCACTTGGGTTTGTTTACTGCTGTGATCACTCTAGAGGCAGTTTTACCATATCAGCAACAACAACTGACTTAACACCCATAACATCTGAAGTCCCGAGACACCCCACATCCCATCTGAGATGAGACGGGATGTAGCAGCAGGGAGGACTTGCTTTCAAAGGGTCCTTTCAAAGAGACTCTGAATGCAATAAGGGAGCTTTTTAAATGAGTAAGATAAGGAAAATAATGCAGTAAGACAAAAGACAAGAGTATCTTATACTAATATTGCAGCTTATATTAGAAAGCAAGAAAAGTTGCAAAGAACTGAGAGAAAGGACTTCACAGGTATCTGCACAACCATACTCTCAGCAGCACCTGAAGAGTAGAAACAGGTAGGCCCGGGGCATAGTAGGTTAAACTGCCCGCTCGGGACAGCCGCATCTCATACTGGAGCGCTCGTGGGGCACAGTAGGTTAACCTGCCTGCTCGGGACAGCCAAATCTCATACTGGAGCGCTCGTTCAAGTCCCGGCCACTCCATTTGCAATCCAGCTTCCTGCTGATGCACCCAGGAGACAGCGGATGGTGGCCCAAGTACTTGGGTTCCTGCCACCACAAGGGAGAAACTGATGAAGTTCTTGGCTCCTGGCTTTGACCTGTCTCAGCCGCGACTGCTGCAGGCTTTTGAGAAGTGAACCAATGGGTGGAAGATCACTCTCTCCATCGTCTCTTTTCTCTCTGTCACTTTGTATTTCAAAAACATTAAATCTTTAAAGACAAAAAATCTAGAAACAACCCAAGTGTCTATCAACAGATGGATAAATAAAGTGTGTCTCCATACATCAGGATATTATTCAGCCTTAAAAAGGTATGAAATTCTCATATGAGAGTACTTCAGAAGTTCATGGAAATGTAATTAAGATATCTTTTAATACCAGTGTCTACAGACTTTTTGAAGTATGCTCATACGTACCCCATGGATGAGCCTTGAACACATTTTGTTAAATAAAATAAGCAACCAATCTGGCAATATATGCAGTAGAAAGGTTTAAAATAACTCCTATCAAGACGCAGTAGCTCCACTTCTATGGACCATCCTATGGCAATAATCTGAAAATTCAATGTGGGTAAACATACCCACCCCAGCATTACTTAACATCACAAGAAATTAGAAATACCATATATATCTAAGAATAAAGGATGATCAGATATACTGTACATCCATTCAAAGGCACTATCAAGAATTTTGTTGTTGGAGCCAACACTGTAGCATAAAAGGTTAAGCTGCACCAGCCCTGGTGGCTCCACTTCTGATCCAGCTCCTTGCTAATGTGCCTGGGAAACCAGTGGAAGATGGCCAAGTGCTTGGCACCCACATGGGAGACCTGGAGGAAGCTCCTGGCTTCAATAAGGCCCAGCTCTAGCTGTGTGGCCATCTGGGGAACAAATCAGCAGATAGAAGATCTCTCTCGATCTCTCTCTCTCTAGATCTCTCTCTGTAACTCTGCCTTTCAAAAAATAAATCTTAAAAAAAAAGCTAAGATAATGTGTCAGCAGGATATTACCACAATTATAACACAGATGACATATATACAAACAGGAAAAAGAAAAAAGACTAGAAGAACATGTATGGTTATAGAAGATTTCTGGGGGTTTTGTTTGTATTTTTACTGACTGTATTAACCTGATGTCTACAATGAGTATATGTCAGTTTTATAATTAAAAAGAAACATTTTTTTTTGACAGGCAGAGTGGACAGTGAGAGAGAGAGACAAGAGAGAAAGGTCTTCCTTTTGCCATTGGTTATAAGCTTATACCTTTGAAAGGCAGAGTGACAGAAAAACCAGGAGCTCTTCCATCAGCTGGTTTGCTCCCCAGATGCCTGCAACAGTCTGGGTTAGGCCAGGCCGAAGCCAGGAGCCCAGAACTCTCTCAATGTCCCATGTGGGTGGGAGGGACCCAGCCACCAGGGCCATCAACTGCTGATTCCCAGGTGCACCAGCAGGAGGCAAGGTCAGAAGTCTGCAGGAGCCAGGACTCGATCCAGGCACTCATAAGGGATACAGGCATCTCAAGCGGCAGTTTAACCCACTGTGCTACAATACCTGCCTCTTTTCTTAAGATTTGTTTGGGGCCAGTGCTGTGGCAAAGCAGGCAAAGCTGCCGCGTGCAATGCTGGCATGCTATATGGGCACAGTTTTGAGCCCCGGCTGCTCCACTTCCAATCCAGATCTCTGCTGTGGCCTGCGAAAGCAGTGGAAGATGGCCCAAGTCCTTGGGCCCCTGTACCCACGTGGGAGACCTGGGAAGAAGCTCATGGCTCCTGGCTTCGGATCAGCCCAGCTCTGGCCATCGTGGCCATTTGGGGAGTAGACCAATGGATGGAAGATCGCTAGCGCACTCACTCGCTCTCTCCCTCCCTCTCCCTCTCTGAAACTCTGCCTTTCAAATAAATGAATCTTTTTTAAAAAAAATGATTGATTTGAAAGGCAGAGTTGACAGAGAAATACATACTTTCAATGCTGCAACATGAAGAGGAAGTGGCTTCCCAAGATACCCTGGGGCAGAGCCCACCCCTCCCCTGCCCCCTCTGCTGGAAGCTCTGCCAAGCTGCAGGGTGAGTGGATGATTGCTCCCCCTCCCCTTGCAGATACCACTGTCGGGGTGTTCCACCTCCGCTCCCCACTGGGCCAGTACAAGCTGACCTTTGACAAAGCCAGAGAGGCCTGTGCCAATGAGGCTGCAACCATGGCCACCTACAACCAGCTCTCCTACGCCCAGAAGGTGAGTCCCCTCTTGTGGACATGGCGTGGGTAGAGGCTACAGGGGAGGAAGCTCAGCCTCTTCTGAAGATGGGGACCCTTCGATTTTTGCCTTCCTGGAAGGCAGGACACTCTGGGAGTAGTAATTCATCATGTCCACTTATGAGGCGCCTACTGTGCACCAGGCACTGCACAGGGTGATTCGTTAGCATTAATTCCATTTCTGGAAGTGTGTGTCACTATTCCCATTTTACAGATAGGGAAACTGAGGCTCAGAGAGGTTAAAGGGCCTGATGTCATACAGCTATGAGCTGGCAGATCTAGCATTCAAATGAATTGCTGACTCCAAAAGTCTACTCTGAACTGTGACACTCGGCTGTCAAGGCAGAGGCAGAGATTGGACGTGAACATTTCACAGCTGGAAATCAGAAGATCAGTAACCACAAGCCTGGGTCGGAGCTACCGGAGCCCCCAAAGCAGCTGGGTTTCTCTGGACTGGCCGCAGCTCTGTGGCTGGAATACATGGTGGGGCCGGTACTGTGGTACAGCAGGTTAAGCTACTGCTTGGGACACACACACCTCCTACTGCCCTGCTTCTGTTCCAGCCCCGTGAATGCACTGGGAGGCAGCAGGTGATGGCCCAGGTGCTGGGCTCCTTCCACCCACATTGCAGACCTAGATGGGAGCTCCTGGCTTTTGCAAGTGTACCAGTAGATGGAAGGGGATGGAAGGGGTGTGTGTGTGTGTGTGTGTGTGTCCGTCCCCCTTCCTCCCTTTCTCCCATCTTCCCTTTCACATACATCTTTTTAAAATGGGGTAGGGGAGACTACAGGACAATTGCCCAAGCTGTCACTCCTATCAGCGAGGAAATGGGGTTCCCTGGTCAGAGCTGCTTATTCTCCGAAACCAAAAGCCCTGCCCATCTGGGAAAGCTGGTGCTTTCTCACTGGGAGCAGAGGTGGCTGCTGCATGGTATGATTTTAGGCCCCTCCAACCTCCATCACTACCAACTCTGTCTGCCTTTCTTCACACCTGATATTTCTTTACCAAGGAACAAAACCTTGGATGCCAGGACCCGGCATTTAGGACGGTCTAAATCTCTACTCTCCTGCTTGCTTCTTGGGTGGCCTTGATCGAGCTGTTGAAACTTCTGTCCTACCTAGCGTGTTTGTGTTAGGAACAAAAGTAAATGGCACAGTAGAAACCCAGCTTCTAACCTTATTAGATCTGGGGCAGATTGCCTGGGTTGGGATCTACTGCTTGCCAGCTCCATGCCTTGGAGCAAGTTACTCAGCTTCTCTGTGCCTTGATTCTCTGCATTGTGATGAGGATGGAAGGTTCCTCTCTCATCCTACCACGTGTGAGGATTAAAGGCGTTGACACATCAAAAGCTCTTGCAAGAGAAACTTGCCCAAAATAATCTCTGAATAACTGTTTTGGTGGTGCTACAATATGATGATGGTCATGATGATAACTTTGATGATGATGATGGAGAATTAGAATTCTATCACCAATGAGAGTTCTATCGATGCATAAACAGAAGAATTTGCACATGAGGTAAGTGGCTGATAGCCAATTCTTTCATAGAGAACAGAACTGAGTAGGAAGGACTTGGGCACCCACAAAAAAACAGAAGGCACCACTTTCATTCATGCAGGTATTGATTGATGGCTCAATCAACAAAATTTTAATGACCACCTGCAATGTGCCGGGCACAGGGGTAAAAATAGGCAAAATTGAGCCTGACTCCATGCAGTTTTTAGATGGATGGAGGAAACTGACGTTAGCCAAGTGATCCCACGGGGAGTATGAAACTAGCTGACCAGTGCCCATCATCTGTGTCCCTGCAGGCCAAGTACCACCTCTGTTCAGCAGGCTGGCTGGAGAGTGGACGGGTTGCCTACCCCACAGCCTATGCTTCCCAGAACTGTGGCTCAGGGGTCGTTGGAATAGTGGACTACGGACCCAGACCCAACAAGAGTGAAATGTGGGATGTCTTCTGCTATCGGATGAAAGGTAACTGCCCCAGCTGCACTGCAGGGCCCAGGCCAACCAACCACCAAGGATGAGCAGGGAAGCCCATGCCCCTGCCTCACTGGGGATGGGGGCCCTGTGCACCTCTCCCCTGCAGACGTGAACTGCACCTGCAAGGAGGGCTACGTGGGCGACGGCTTCTCATGCAGCGGGAACCTGCTCCAGGTCCTAATGTCCTTCCCTTCGCTCACCAACTTCCTGAAGGTACGCACCAGGCACCAGTCTGCTTGGTTTCACCTCGGGCAGGCAGAGGCTGCTGCAAAGCAGGCGAGCCCTCGGCAGAAGCCAAAGGCTCATGGCTGGAGCTGAGCACATGGGCACTGGACCTCCTGCGTGAATTTGCCAATCTCTTGTTGCACAATGTTAAGCGTTACTTTCCTCAATGGGACTCAGTTCTCTTACCTGTAAAGTGGAGATGGTCATAGCACCAGCCTCGCAGGGCCATTGAGGGTCACACTGGGAAGCACTCGGACCAGTGGCCAGCACGTGGAAAGCCACTACTGATGACGTCAGCTGTCTCTGTGGCCAGAGCAGTTAGGGAGTGGGATCTGCAGGGACCCCACTCTTCTGTCTTCATGGTCAGCATGGGCACAGGGCATGAGGCCTGCCCAGGAAGTCACATCCATATTCTGCAAGCTATGTCCAACAAAGAGAAAGCCCCACTGGGAGGAGTTGATGCTGGTTGCTCAAAGACCTGAGCTAATAATAGTAATACCAACAGACACAGCTAAGTCTTCTGCACACTGACAGTATGCTAGGAGCTGTACCCAGGCTCCCACCCCCAAGGATGGATGGGACTCCTGGGAACATAAGCCCCACAAGGGAAGGTGTCTCCCTGCCTTGCCCACCACTGTTTCCCCACCACCTTCTGCTATGATTCCCACTTTTTCCGCAAAAAGAAAAAGAGGCTAGGCAAGAGCAAGGCCACAGCCCAACACCCCAGAGCTGAATTCAAACCCAGACTCCCCGTCATCCTTCATGGTGCCTAAGCCACTGTCCCCAGCAGAACCGACAATCGGTGACCTTGGTGGGGAGGGGCATGCAGGGTCAGGACAGAAGTCAGACCAAAAGCCCCAGAACAGTGAGCCTCTGCCCCAAGATCAAAGGTGTGCACCTGCCTGGTCTAAAATCAGGGTCACCACACATACACTGAAGATAAACACGCATCCAACACTTCCGCGGGGGAGCGTGCTCGTGGCAGCGTCAGAACAAAGCCCTCTTTAGCCAGTGCCCCAGCCTCTCTGCACGGAGACGCCCGTCTACAATGACAACGCTGAACTAGGCAGAGCGATTTCTTCACATTTAGTCAGTGAGTATTCATTGAACATTTAAGATGTGTCAGTGAGCAAAACAGAACAGAGGAGTGGGTGGTCTGGAGGGCTGGAAGGGGATAAACACCGAGAGGTCAGGAAGAGGGGGGCGCAGCTCAGGGTCCCACAGTGCACGGTGACAGGGGAGGCTGCAGTGGAGAGATGACAGTGCCCAGAGGAGACCAAGAGTGCTCCAGGCAGGAGGAGCAGCTGCGCACACAGGCCAGGCCAGGCCGAGAGCAGCAAGGAAGCCGGTGTGGCTGCAGCGGGGCAGCAGCCAAACGCCTTGGGCCTCACAAGCCGCTCTGCTCCTCCTCTGGGTGACGTGGGCCTTGTTTGGAGAAGACGAGATGTGAGCTTCGACTTGTGTCTCACAGGACCGCTCAGGCCACCACGATGAGCATGGGCGGTGACAGGGCTGTGTCTCAGGACCATGGGGTTTCGTGAGCATAAGCACTGCTGGCTGACATCGGAGTTCCCAGCTGCTGCTGCCCTGCACCCTCTCCAGCCCCCCTGACAGCCGCCTCCCTTTCCCAGGACCTGCTGGTCTACTCCAACAGCTCCGCCAGAGGCCGGGCGTTTCTCAAGCACCTGACGGACCTGTCACTCCGCGGCACCCTCTTTGTGCCCCAGAACAGTGGGCTGGGGGAAAACGAGGTGAGTCGGGGTCCCCGCGTCTGCATTCAGACCCCACCAGGATGGTGCTGTATCAGAAGCCACCCCCACCAAGTTCAGTGCCAACACAGTTTTGGAGCTCACACACCCGCTGATCACCCACCACTTCCGTTGGTCTTGGCACACATGCTGAAACCAGCAGGCAGGGGCTCTGGGCTGGCTGGCTGTGGCTGGAACTTGACAGGTGCTCAGTCACTACTTGTTGAAAAAAATAAATCCTCATGCAACCTTATGAGGTCACTTCCGCTATTATGCTTTTTTTTTTTTTCCTTAAGATTAAAAAGTACTTAGCAAGGTCAAGGCCACAGCCTAACACCCTATAGGGGTGCTCTTGCAGCAATGGCAGGGGGAGTGGTGAGCACAAGCCCAGTCCTGCAGTGCTTTTTGAGCCTGGGTTTGGCTCATTAGCTGACGTGCCATTGGCCGACAGGTCGCATACTTGAGTGGGAGGCTCTCAGAGGTCAAGGGCAAGGTCACTGGGCAGGGAAGAACTGAAGCTCTTGATGCCATCCACCTGTACTGGCAGAGAGAAGAACCAGCAGAATTTAATCAGCACATCCACCGAGGGCTGGCCCCAGGCCCTGCTCAGCCACCCAAGGGTTAGGAGGAATGATACCACCCACCTGCTCCTCCCAGGACTTTACATAACAGAAGAGTTTCCACCCCACCTGCTAGCCAGGGGAGCCTCTGGCAGAGTCCAAACCAAAAGCCCAGGGAAACATGACTTCCCAGCTACTGTCTGTCCTTGAACCACCACCCTTCATTCTCTCCTTTCTTCTTAGACCTTATCTGGGCGGGACATCGAGCACCACCTCGCCAACGTCAGCGTCATCCTTTACAATGACCTGGTCAATGGCACGGTCCTGCGGACGAGGCTGGGGAGCCAGCTGCTCATCACCTCCAGCCGGGACCAGCTCCACCTGGTATGCAAAGCCTTCTGGGCTTACTGGGAGAACAGGAGATAATACATGCAAAGTGCCCAGCATACAGTAGGTGCTCAATAGATGGCAACTATTATCACACAAAAGTAAACTCTAACCCTACAGCTAGAGGGTGGTAATGACTGCACACCTTGTGTACCATAGCAACAGGCAGTGCCTATCCCTTGGAAATCAGGCTGGCTTTAAAAGCTGGTGATGGGCCGGCGCCACAGCTCAATAGGCTAATCCTCCGCCTGCGGCGCTGGCACACTGGGTACTAGTCCCGGTTGCTCTTCTTCCTGTCCAGCTCTCTGCTGTGGCCTGGGAGTGCAGTGGAGGATGGCCCAGGTCCTTAGGCCCTGCACCTGCATGGGAGACCAGGAGAAGCACCTGGCTCCTGGCTTCGGATCAGCATGGTATGCTGGCTGCAGCGGCCATTAGGTTGTGAACCAACGGAAAAGGAAGACCTTTCTCTCTGACTGTCCACTCTGTCAAAAAAAAAAACCTGGTGATGAGGAATGTAAACAAAGCCATACGAAAGCTTCTTGAGTCTCTACCTCTGCTTCTGTCACATTGCCTGTCCATCCCAGGCATTATGGTGAACCCTGAAGCTAAAAGGCCCTGGCGCGAATCCCAGTTCTGCTGCCTGAAAGAACTCAGACAAGTGATCCAACCTCTGAGTCTCACTTTCCTTCTCTGGTAAATGGAGATGATGATGATGGTGTTGTAAGGAAAACTTCCTTCTCTAAGATTTATTTATTATTTATTTGAAAGGTAGAGTTACAGAGAGCAAGCGAGGGAGAGAGAGAGATCTTCCACCCATTGATGCACTCCCCAAATGGCTACAACAGCTGGGGCAGAGCCAGACCAAAGCCAGGAGCTTCTTCCAGGTCTCCCATGTCGGGACAGGGACCTAAAGACTGGGGCCATCTTCCGCTGCTTTCCCAGGCCATAGTAGAGAGCTGGATCGGAAGTGGAGCAGCCGGGACTTGAACCAGCACCTCTAGGGATGCTGGCATTGCAGGCAGCAGCTTAACCCATTGCGCCACAGCACCAGCCGCAGACTTCTCCCTTCTTACAGTCCATGGCTGAGTCTGAGAATTAAACTGGTATAAGACAGATTAACAACAGAAGAGCATACAAAGCTTATTTGATATTTTACATGCACAAGGGACTCCTCATAAGAAAAAAGACCTACAGCAGCAGATACAACCAGGAAGTTAGACTTTCCAAAAAGCAGTGCAGTAAATTTGTGAAGAAGTAAAAAAGCATTGAGGCAAAGAGCAGTAAACTGTGGGACAGTGAGTAGGAAATTAATGGGCGGATTACTTCAGTGGTCGCTCTGTTGAGATCCATTTGGGTGTTGACTGGCAGTCTCGTCTCTTCTGACACGAGGGTGCCTTTGCATTACAAACCTGCCTTCAGGGAGAGGGGAGCTCACAGAATACTTCCTGTGTCAGCCACTTCTCAAGTGCTCCAACCTAAGGACAGTCAGTGTGCTGACGCAGCACATGGCGGAGGCGTTCTGAAACTTCACTGATGACAACAGTGAGGGTGGTAGGAGGGGTGGTGACATGGACAGTGGTTGCCATGGTGATCATGTGAATGACTGATGATGCTGACGATCACACTGATGAAGATGTCTAAATCGTGGGCTGTGTAGAGATGACAATGGTTCAAGGCTTGTGACATGCAGCAAATGCTAAATGCGCATTTTTCAATATTTACCCTGATAAATGACTCTGTGATGGAACAGCAGTTCAGCTTTTATGTGTATCCGAACCACTGAGAGATCTGTTCAAGTGCAGATTAGGATTGAGCAGCTGTGGTGTGGGGCCTCTATTCTGGCCACAACACAGAGATCAGATCCCTGTAAAACCCCCTTTCTAACCACGTGATGTGATGGCTGGAGCAGTGGCCCCAGGCCCAGAGGCATGAGGGCTGCCACTCACTCCCTGGGTGATCCACTTTCCTTCTGAATGCCTACCTGTCATTCAAGTGAGCTGCACAGACGTCCCCTGAGCCCAGGGCAACTGCTGTGTCCCGTGCTGCTCACAGTGGAGGGGTCTCAGGGAAGCTGAACGCCCTCCACGGAAGGGGAGAAAGGGCCGGATGGCCCAGGCCTCTCTGACCCGCTGCCCATTTCCCTAGGAGGAGACCAGGTTCGTTGATGGAAGAGCCATCGTGCAGTGGGACATCTTTGCCTCCAATGGGATCATTCACGTGATCTCCACGCCTTTAAGAGCACCCCCTCCCCCAAAGGTGAGTGTCCGGGATTCCCAGGGAGGGGGCTAGAAGAGCCGCCCACACCCACGGCTGCCTTCATGGACGCCAGCCCCACTCCTGTGTATCAGCACAAGAGTGCTAATTTTCTCACCTACAAGGCCTCCCTCCCTGGGTTTTTGGGAGGATTTCAAGTTATTAAGTGTACATGTATAGTCTGTGCTCCGTAGAAGTCGACGGGTGAGTATACCAAGTTTTCCCCTGAAGCATGAGGGAGGAATAAGCAGCTGGAAGGTTCCATAGCCTGCTGGGGTTCAAAGCCCACTTCTGCCACTAACGGGCTGTGAGCTATCCGGCAGGTGCTTAACCTCTCTGGGGCTCAGGCCTACCCCCTGCCATTCAGAGTAACACCTGTCCCTAAGTCTTTGGGGTGAACGGACTATTCCACGGGAGGAGCTCAGAACGAACCTGGCAGCAGCAGGGACTGGAGACATGCTAACTACTTGTCATTATCTTTAACTCCACTGCCTCCAAGAAGCCCTGGGCCAGCGAGGACAGGGTGAGCCCAGCAGGTGTGCCTCTCTCACCGGGGAGTCACCGGCTTTACGAACAGGCCCTTCCCTTTTCTGCGTGCAGACTCCGACCCACGCTGGCCTGGGCACCGGGATATTCTTTGCTGTCATCCTGGTCAGCGGCGCTGTTGCTCTGGGTGCCTATTCTTACTTCCGGCTGAACCATAGACTAATCGGCTTCCAGCATTTTGAGGTAAGAAAGAACAGGAACATGACGCTGGGGTCCTCCCCCTAATCCAGGCTACGTCAGCCGTCTGGCTGCTCTAGAGACCCCACCCAGGAGCAAGGGTTGCCCCACTGCCTCCTGGATACAGTCTCTCAGAACAGCAGCAGCTCCAGGAAAGGCCTGGGTGAGAGGCTGCCACGCCAGAGCTTTGGTTTGGAAGTAAATTTTCCAGGCCCCAGGAGTCACCTGCACTAGCCAAGCACCCAGCATGATCTTGGGCTTCAGGACTGGATCTGAGGGTTGGGGTGCAGGGTAGGGGACCCGCGCATCCCCCAGGTCCCACACTGCAGCCAGTTACACTCTTCCTGCTCCTGGAATAGTGGAGGTACCTCCAGATCAGCAAAACAGCACCCTTCCTTATGTACTGTGCACCCCGCCCTGGCCCAGCCTCCCCTGAACACACCTGAGAAAGGCTGTTCAGAGTCGCGTACTCACAAGCTCCAGGCACGAAGCCCCACAGCATCTGTCAGAGTCCCTTCTGTTGCCGTAACTGAGCCTCACTGACTGTGTAACTTACAGCGGCGGACAGCAGAGGTTTGTGAAGGCTGGGAGGCCCTTCTTGCTGCCGGGGGCTCTTTGCAGAGGCCCAAGGTGGCGGGGGGCTTCCTGCAGCTGAAGAGGGCATCCTAGCTCAAGTCTCTCCTCCCCTTAGAGAGCCACAGCCCCACCTGGATGGCCTGAGTTCACCTTTCTGGCCCAAGGTCCCACCTGCATAGTCAGGTGAAGCCTCAACATGGGGCGTGAGTTTCCAGCTGAGTTCTGATGGAGACAAACAGCCACGTCATTTTCAGCAAACGTGTCCGCTTCTAGTTCAAGGACAGGCCACACCACGCCAGGGTGCCGGGATAGTGATTACCCTCCGTGCGGTGGGGTGGGGCTGGAGGGAGCACTCTGCCCTGATACGGGTGGTGGTCACAGCCGGGTAGACATGTCCCTGAGCTGACCTCTAAGACTGGTGAATTTCATTATGTATCAATCACTTCTCAATCGCACAAGCTCCCATGGCAGAGAGGGTGGCTGGCAGCAGCTGCCACCCTAGGCAAGACGCTGCTGGCTCACAGCCCTCACACTTGTCTTTCTCAACAGTCGGAAGTGGACATCGGCGTTGGGGCTCTGGGCAAGCAGCAGCCTGAGAATATCTCGAACCCCATGTATGAGAACACAGCCTCCGTGCCCCCAGAACCTGCCTACGACCCCTTTGTGGTGAGTGAGCATTCTTTTTTCCCTCTGGGAAGGGGTTTGCCTGGGGCGCAGGGGCAAGATCTTTCAGCAAATCTTAATGCAAAGCTTGGCCCCCCAAAAACCGCCTTCTAGGACATGTCCCAGACAGCAAGTCTGAAGGCCAGTTTTGCAAACTGAAACCCTGTGGCTGTTCAGTTCCTGGGTTCTAATGGGCAGATGCCACTGCAGGTAGGGGAACACCAGAGGTCGCCACCCCAATTCTGTGACCTGGTGAAATGTCACAAGGAAGAGGAGCCTTGGGCGAAATTGTGCTGCTGCCAACGGTTCCAGGGTAGCAGGTGAACTACAGGATGCAAGGCCAGGAAAGGATCCTTTTTTCCCATTAGCTGGTGATCCTTTGAACTTACACTGATGAGGGTGTCCGAGGCTTTTCGGCTTCTCGTTCTGGGAGCTATGTTGTCTTTGAGGAGGGCTTTCATAGGCAGGGGTACTCCGCTCTGGGTCCCAGACGTGCCTGTTGTTTCCTGGAGGTAGCGATCCCCGAGCTAAGCTGGGGACACCCCTTGGCAGGGGCTCCTTCGCCCTGGCGACAGAAGTTACACGCTGCCTGGAGTGTGTTACCAGTCCTGGGCGGAGAAGCTAGGGCTGAAACTGGGCCGATCCTTTTATGCTCACGTGACAAACAGGAAATCTGCCAGCCCATGTGCTGACTGTCCCTGTCTACCCTGCACCTGCCCCACGCCTCCCCTGAGGTGCACAGCTCTGTGACATGCCCAGAGCCGTCAGCGGCACCGACGAGGCCTTCTATCACATGTGGGTGCACCACGAAGGCCTCAGACCAGTGGCCAAAAGCAGTCTTCAACCTGCGTGAGTTCCCAGGACGACGCGAGTCCTCACGGCGCACGTCCCGGCCCTCTCTCTTCCAGGACTCAGACGAGCAGCCACTGGAGAGCAGCGACCCCTTGGGTCTCTGATGTGAGCAGACACCATCACCCACCGAGAACCTCGGCAAGAAGGCTGTTAGCCGTGAACTCCTGGCACCACTGCCTCTGGGAAGGGGAGGTCCTTGGCATTCTGAAGCACTCAACACCAGTACCTCCTCCCTGTGGTTAATCTGGACGTGGGGGACGTCTTGTTTCTGTAGGTGAGGGACCACAGCACTGAGACCAGCCAAGGGGCTTCTCCCTTCTCCGAGCCGCCTCTGTCCCCATCAGATGCCCCTCACGGCAGTAACTGGGACCCCACTTATCTGTGAGATTGTGAGCTCCCGAAGGCAGCGCCAGGCCCCCTTTGTGTTTGTATCCCAGTACCTGATATAGGAAATGCGCTCCAGAAATGCTTATGGAACAGAAATAAAGTCAGTGAGACCAGTCTGGTGTCTGGGAAAGCAGAAACTCCATTCACAGAAGGGGGCAAAGTTTGAAGGCAAAAATACCCTTATTGGGTCTAATTAGGGTCTTCTTGCCCAATCTACTCTCATGTGCTCATCTGTGTCTACTCTAGAAGACAGCACTTCCTACCCACTAGGATGGCTAAGGGAAAGAGAAGAGTGTAGGGAAGGTGTGTAACTCTGAATTTCAAATCAATCTTTTTTTAAAAAAAACAGCCCAAATGTCCACCATCAGAAATTTCCAACCCACATAACCGTATGGATGACCCTTGAGAATACGGTGCTAATTTCTTCTTGAAACTATCGGGGGGAGGAGATTCAGAAATGGCCAAAACGAGAAAAGTCCAAAAACCACTTATGAACGCACACTTCTGCCGATGAGGAGGTGAGACCCAGAGAAACTCGGCGGCCACGGGAGACACTGCTAGAGGCGATGACACTTGGAGAGCTGAGGTCCCCCAGCTCCAGGCTCATGTGGCTCCCACCTATGGCTGTTGTCTCTAGATTTCACAAGGGTGAGGGATTTGGGGTCACTTCTCCCCCTCCCCAGTGGAAGCTCTCTCACAGCCTCACATTTTGATCCCTTTTCAACAGTCTGAACTGGTGAAGGCTAGGGGCTCCCTCAGTGCACATCACTTTACTGAAACTCAGAACTCACAGCTTCATGCGAAGCTGCAGCCTCCCCAGCACCTTACTCTCTACCCCTGGAGGGTAATGGCCCCAGCTGGAAACAGCTTGCTCCAATTAAAGTGTGCAAAATGAAATCAGAGTCCCTGGACGGGAGCCTGGCCACCGCCCTGAGCCGGGACCCTGGTGGGGAGCAGCAGGCTGCCTGGGGCCTCCTGAGAGAATGAGGAAGACATCTTGGGGGCTTCCACATTCAGCTACATCTTTATGCAAGGAAAATGACATCCGGGGCAACCAGGCCACGGGCTGCCAAAGCACACTCAGCGGAACCTGCAAGCTGGTTCACCGGCCGATCTATGTTGCTGTCCCACGCTCCGGTTATTTATGTCCATTTATCAGTAAGTCCTGCTGGCAGACATCATGGCCCTGGGGGCAGAGGAGGGTGTGTGTGTGTGTGTGCTTTAAGAAAGAAGTTAGGCCGGCGCCGCGGCTCACTAGGCTAATCCTCCGCCTTGCGGCGCCAGCACACCAGGTTCTAGTCCCGGTTGGGGCGCCAGATTCTGTCCCGGTTGCCCCTCTTCCAGACCAGCTCTCTGCTGTGGCCAGGGAGTGCAGTGGAGGATGGCCCAAGCACTTGGGCCCTGCACCCCATGGGAGACCAGGAGAAGCACCTGGCTCCTGGCTTCGGATCAGCGCGGTGCAACGGCCGCAGCAGCCATTGGAGGGTGAACCAACGGCAAAGGAAGACCTTTCTCTCTGTTTCTCTCTCTCTGTCCACTCTGCCTGTCAAAAAAAATAAATAAATAAAAGAAAAAAAAAAGAAAAGAAAGAAGTTAAACCACGGGCTCCACACTTAGAAGGTAAGGGGAAAACGCCAAGCTCAAGCGACCAAAGGTGTCACATGCAGCGAAGGAGAAGGGCGGTGGACGGCCAGTCAAAACCTCTCCTGCTGGGAGTAGGGAAAAAAATAACCTCATGCAACAACTTGCCAAGACATCTGCGATGTTTGTAACTGCAAACGTGTGAGCTTGTTAACGGCCATCACTACCTTAGAAGAGGCGGCAGTTTACCTCCACACCCCGTGCCTGGTAGAGCGTAAAGCAACGGGTGTGGCTCAGGAGGTGCCAGCGGGGTGTGTGAGGGCAGCCAAGGGGCCATTCTCCCAACCTGCAGGGGACCAGGAGCCCTTCCAGAGCACTGGGCAGGAGGCGCCGCCCACAGAGAATGTGGCCCACCTTCACATGAGCCTTCCAGCATCAGACTCTGCACAGAAAGACAAAGTAGCTCTGACACGCAATGCGTGACTCAACTGGCAAATGCTCAGACACGAGGCCTCTAAAAGACATCATGAGGATCACCATGATGGCTTCCGACGAGGATGGATTCCAGGAAACAGTATTGTCTGTTTCAAAAAGGACATTTTGAAATAAGGGTTAAATACTTACTTTGGGTGCCTGCACTGTGACGTAATGGACTAAGCTTCCGCCTGTGGTGCCAGCATCCATATGGGTGCCAATTCGGGTCCTGGCTGCTCCTCTTCCAATCCAGCTCTCTGCTATGGCCTGAGAAAGCAGTCCCAAGTATTTGGGACCCCGCACTCATGTGGGAGACCTGGAAGAAGCTCCTGGCTTCAGATCGGCCCAGCTCCAGCTGTCGCAGCCATCTGGGGAGTGAACCAGCGGATGGAGGACCTCTCTCTCTCTGACCTCTCAAATAAATAAATATTTTAAAAAAATACTCACTTTGGTCTGAAAATCAAAGTTCTTACATCCCAGTCTTCAGACCCAGGGATGGGATGAGGCAGCGCGGCCCACGGGAGATTAAGTCAGGAGGTGAGGCCTCGTGTGTGGGATTAGGGCCCATCTAAAAGGGGCCCCAGGAGCTCCCTCCCCTCTCCACCCGGTGCGGACACAGCGGGTAGGGCCCATCGGTTAACGAGGAAAATGGCGTCCCCGGGCGCTCACTCTGCTGGAGCCTGATCCTGGACTCACCAGCCTCGGGAGTGGTGGGAAATAAAGCCCTGCGGTTCACAGTCCACTGTGCCACAGCACATGCGTGCGTCATCTGCACACGTACGTGCACCTCCACGAAAACACCAGCCACAAATGCAGACGCGGGCGTGTTGGACCTGCGATCCAAATGCTACAAGTGGTGCTGCCGTCAGCAACGTGGTTTCCAATGTCCTTCAGAAACGCAGGAGGATCCTTTATAAACTGGGGTAAAATAAGGCTAAACTCCTCCTTGGGTTTACAAGTGGCTGCATTCCTGGAAAAGTCAGCATGGTAAATCACATCCAGAAAAATCCTGTGTGGTTACATGTAAAACAGTTAGGTTCTGGGCTGAAAAATGGTAACAGATGTACCAGGAATGTCAACAAGCTCTTTAAGGAGGCAGAGGCAGAGGCAGAGGTGGGCCCTTCCCTGCACAGGGCTCCCTGTGAGACGAAGGCAGTCCCATGGGCCTGGCACCAGGGCCCACAGGTGCCCTCCCCATCTGAGCCCTTCCACCCTATCCACCCACATGTCCCCAACTTGTCCCCAGGGGGCAGTGCTGGCCCGGGAGGAGAATCCCTGCTGGGGACAGAATGAGAGGCGGGCTTGTGCAGAAGTCAGACTCTCCTGTCGCCCTCACTCTAGGCAACTTCATTCACAGCATGGGGACTTTGAGCCCACGCCAAAGTTCTGGAAGCCCCAGCACGTTGGGCCAGCTCTGTCACAGCTCCAAGGAGGAGGAGCAGCGTGCCACTTCCTGGTGGATGACGCATCAGAGGGAGAATAATGCCACATTTCCTCGGGATCACTGAGGAAGAGTGCAGGTGCAAGCTGGCAGGCGATCGAGGAGGGAGGGGAGACAGAACGAGGTGTCCCCAGGAGGGGTGAATGATGCTACGGTATCAGCCCAAGGGGAGGTCAAAGACTTTAAGATGTTAACACCCACACAGACATTTTAAAACTTTTTAAAAATAAAGCCTTCAAAATATAAGGGGCCAGCGTTGTGGTGCAGAGGGTTAAGGCACTGCCTGCAATGCCGCATCCTGTATGAGAACCGTTTAAAAACCTGGGTGCTCCACTTTGGATCCAGCTTCCTGCTAATGGAACTGAGAAAACACTGGAAGATGGCCCAAGTGCCTGGGCCCTGCCACCTCCACGGGAGCCCTGAATGGAGGTCCTGGCTCCTAGCTCTGTCCCAGCCCAGCCAGGACATTAGGGGAGTGAACTAGCAGACGGAAGATCTCTGTCCCTCCCTCTATGTGAACTCTGCCTTTCAAATAAATAAATCTTCAAAAAAATATATACATGTATTTATAAATGTACGCAAAATCCAGTATGAATTGACTTCATAATACTCCTAAATTCTATGCTTCCTTTCCTTAAAGCCTTTCAGCTTTCCTGTTCCTCCGATTACAAGCAGGGCCCCGGCGTCTCCTTGGTCCCCCAGAGGGAGCTCCCTGGCAAAGACAGGGGTCACCACCTGCCCACTGGTGGCTGTGCTCCCCACCGGGGTTTCCGTCCACAAGCTCTGAAGGCAGGTGGACCCATGTGCTTGCTGGGGGTGGGAGGAGATGCAGGTGCTAAGAAAAAAATGTAACCTTTCACCCCTTCTCTCGGGGATACCTGGTGGGACCGTCAGAGCTTTGCTTTTTAATCCAAGGCTTCCTCCAATCCTTGTAGGAGAAATAACCTCAAGTGCTGGAGGAAAAGGCACGTTTGGCACGTTGTGGCTTCACCAGCACTGCAGTGACTGAGCACACAGATCAGAGGCCTAACAAAGCGACCACGCAGTGCAAACTTTTATTGGCTTTAAGTTCAGTATCACGTAACACACAAAAACAACATTCAGAATAAATAGCAAATTCACATTCAGAATAAATAGTTCGTCTACCTAACTTGCATGTGTTGTACTTGATGCCATACAGGCACAGTCCATCACCCCACAGGACAACCAGGCAAGTCTCCTCCCAAGTCCGAGCCCACGCCTGCCCTGCTAACGGAGGCGTCGCAGGCCAGGTTCCCCAGGAGCAGCCGTGCTGGAAGGCCTGCCCGGGAGCGCTGCTCGGATCACCTCCCCGCAAGGGGAAGGAAAACAAGGAAGCAGGACTGAGAGGCAGAGGCGCTGGACTGCAAGCGGACCCCACAGGGAGCACTGGAGCCCCGAGAGCTCTCCAGGCTTGTCCTGAGCAGGGTGGGGGGCCAGGCCTTTGATGCCCCCCAAGGAGCAGTCAGGGCTCTTCTGCAGGGGAAGCTCCCAAAGAGGCCACTGGCTGTAAGTGGTCAGCCAGCGGCCCTCCCAGGAGCTCCCCAAACCAGCACGATCACAGGACACAGCTGCGGATGGCGGGAGGTACATTCCACTGG